ACATATATGCTTGATGATAAAACATATATGTATGATAATAAAACATATATGCATGATAAAACATATGTTTGATAATAAAACATACATGTTTGATAACAAAACATACATGTTTGATAATTAAACATTCATGTTTAATAATAAAACATATATGTATGATAAAACATATGTTTGATAATAAAACATACATGTTTGATAATAAAACATATATGTATAATAATAAAACTTATATGTATAATAATAAAACATATATGTATAATAATAAAACATATGTATGATAAAACATATGTATGATAATAAAACATATATGTATGATAAAACATATTTTTGATAATAAAACATACATGTTTGATAATAAAACATACATGTTTGATAATAAAACATACATGTTTGATAATAAAACATACATGATTGATAATTAAACATACATGTTTGATAATAAAACATATATGTTTGATAACAAAAGCCATGTTTGATAATAAAACATACATGTATGATAATTAAACACATGTTTGATAAGAAAACACATATTTGATAACAAAACATATATGTTTGATAACGAAACATACATGTTTGATAACAAAACATACATGTTTGATAATAAAATATACATGTTTGATAATAAAACATACATGTTTGATAATTAAACATACAAGTTTGATAATAAAACATGTATTTTTGATAAGAAAACATATATGTTTGATAATAAAACATACATGTTTGATAATTAAACATACATGTTTGATGATAAAACATATATGTTTAATAAAAAAACATACATGTTTGATAATTAAACATACATGTTTGATAATAAAACATATATGTTTGATAATAAAATGTACATGTTTGATAATAAAACAGACACTTTCTCCCCTAAATGCCCACAGCCAGCATTTGCTGGTCATGACAATAAATTATAATATCATTATCAATAACCACATAGTTAAAGGTTCAGATCTAGATCTGACCTGCATGTGAAAACGTAACAGTTTCTCATCTGGGTTGGTTAGGTTAATATTATGGGGTGCCAGTCAGGTCACCCTCCTGAGTTATAGGACGATGGTGAATGTTTAAGAAATGAGCTTTGAACACAGTTTTCCTCTGTCACACAAGGATAAATACTTAAAATGATTTTGTATACACCCTCAATTTCTATAAAAAGTGTAGGCAACCAGCCGAATAAAGAATACAGCACAGTCCATGAAGACAAATCAGCAGTCTGGTCCTTGGTTTTGGTGTAGCTCCATTTTAATTTTCCTTTTTATCTTCTTTTGTCGTTGCCATGGAATAAGGAGTTGACCGGGGTGTGAATGATTCTTCTAGCAGGACACAATTCAGAATCTATTCTCTGGAATTGATGGATAAAAACTGATATTAACATTATTGAATTGATATTAATGTCTTGACTGTTAAGCATCTGGTGTTTAAAACGTAGCTTCATCCATTTATTCCACTGATAGATAACAGGCCCCTGCAGGACTCACAGGGAGGAGGTTTTAGTGGGATGACCTAGCCTTGAAACAACCTTTATCAGTAAAACTCTTGAGAAAGTGCAGGAACTGCTTTGTTGATTTAGTGCACCTGGAGAAAGCTTAGTCTCCCTTTTTTACGGCTTTCTGTCTGAGAGTCTAAGAAATGTCAAAATGTGTGTGTGCATTCATCTTTTGTGTGTGTGTGCTTAACAAATGCTTTTCGGAGGACGTCTGTCCGTTGAGAATGAACTGTGTATCTTTTCCTCTCCACTTTGCAAAGTCTAAATTGATTGTTGATTATTGGTGTTGGTGTTAATCGATTGATAACTATGACCCCCTGTGCTTTGAACTTTCCCTAAGGTAATCCTGGATTGATAAAACTACCCAACAGGAATGATGGGTGAATCCACGCCGTCACAGGAAGACGCTCCACATGCTGACTCTTTCTCCAGCACTTTACATCCAAGGGAATCAAAGGAAACGATTGGAAAAAAAAACAGGAGAGACACAGTGTGGCTTTCCTTTTGAAAGGTGAACATGGGCGTGGCGCACAAGTGCTGAACATTTGCCATCGAGGCAGAGAGGAGGCAGGAAATGAGCAATGCGGTGCAACCTCAGGTTGTCACAACGTGTTTTAGAGGGAAGATGTCAGCAATCTCACTAAAGATAAAGAAATAGATTAAGTTAGATGACTTGTACACATCAGTGCTGCTATTGGACACCCGAGACAGATGAGGACTAGGAGGGACGTTCAGGTTTTTTCCAACTACAGCCTGACTTTAAATGAGTGCAGGAAAGAAGAGGGGAGTGAGGAAGTCACCCTTGTCGAACAAGAAAAACCAACATCTAACCTAAGGGAGCGGTTTTGGGTTTCAACTTAGCTCCTCTTTTCATAACATCCACACCAAGAAATTCAACCCAAACATTTTCCAACATCGGAAGTGTTTATTCACCAAATATGAGGAAATTCATGAATTCAAATTGAAGAAAATAAATCAGAATCATTTAATCCTGATGACTGTCGTGTGTTTCAGTTTAGTAAAGGTTCAGCAGTTTTACAATAAACCTTAATAAAACTGACCCCATAATATAAAAATATTTAATCCCTATAGCTTCAGACTTTTTTTAATTGAAATAACTTAAAGATGTATTTCTGATAGTCTGGAACTGTTACATCAACTGGTGCTGACTGGTATGTGACGGTTGGGAGACCAGTCAGTGTGTGGGTGATAAATGTGTGTAAGTGTGTGTTGTGAAGAAATGGGAAAAAGAAAACAGAAAATGAAATGTTGTTAGATATGACCCGTCTTAAACTAATGAGCCAGTTTCACTGAATCAAGAAGCATCTCCTCACACAACAGCAGACTAATAACCACTAATTAGTCTTAAACGTAATTACAGAACGGAGCTGCACTGCTCTAAAAATGATGCATTCAGGGATGCTCGGAAAGGTGGCATCTAGACTATTTTTAATTTTAAATCTTACTTTTGCTTCTATAAGTGCTTACCTGTTACCCGATCACTTTCAAATATCTAAAACTTACTCATTTTGTAGATTTTGAGCTCAGAGGTTTTAGCAGCTCCAGCTTGAAAAACAAAGAAATACGGGAAAAGTATCTCTGTGAGTGTAGATTTGAGACATGTCTTCAGAGTTGTAGAAGGACACGTACCCCCTGTCATAGTCCAGCTGGACTCTGATCCTCTGGAGACTCTTCTTCACTGAGATGATCTGACCAGAACCATTAATGTATTTTCCACCAAAATGCCATAAACACCCGATCCCATATTCTGGTAAAGCTTTTAGTTCTCCCTTCCTGTCCACTGTCTCTTTAACCAAACCAATAATCCATTCAGGAAGATCTCCCACCTCCACCTCCCAGCTGTGTCTCCCTGAGCTGAAGCCCTCAGAACCAAAAACATCAGAATACATAGTGTTTCTCTCTGGATTATCAGGAAGCTGCTGCCATCCGTCTCCACATCTCACACGGGTCAGATCATCAGACAGGTACAACCAGCCACTTGCAGTGTTTGGGTCCAGGATGACAGGACTGAAGTGGACCTTGTCCTTCATCTTCTCCCAGACTCTGAAGGACAGGTTGCCCAGGTGTTTGGCCACATCTATCAGAGCTCCTGAGACCAGCTGTGGATCTGACACTGAGCTCTGGGTTCTGGTTCTGGTCTGAGTGTCTTTATAGCTGCTGAGGAACGCCACGTTGTCTTTCTGCAGCTCGTCTTCAACAGCAGAGATGCTGTCTGACAGAGAGGAGATCTGCTGCTGAATCCTCTTCATCTCTCTGCTGATAGTCTTCCCCTTCTGCTCCTCTTCCTCCCTCAGAGCTGCCAGTCTGGACTCCTCTTCCTCTTTCAGGAACTGGTGGAGCTTGTTGAACTCTGCTCTGATCTGTCTCTCTGTGGACACCAGCTGCTTCTTGGAGTGTCGAATCACATCATCGTATGTTTCCTCCACTTGTTTGTATTTGTTCCTCTTGTCCTGCAGAGACTTTAAGTCCGATTCCAGCTGCTCCTTCAGCTCACTGACTGCTTGTTCTACAGGAACCACTTTGTGACTCTGGTGGAGAGAAAAGTCACAGACAAGACACACAGCTCTCTGCTCGTCTTCACAGAACAGTTTAGGCTCTTCCTGATGTTTGCTGCACACCACCTGCAACGTCTTCTCTCCTTTTTCTGTCTCAGATGATCCAGATTTCTGCCTCCCAGCAAAAGAGTCAGCAAGTTGCTTCAGTCCAAAATTCACTACGATGTCCTTAGAAGACCTTCTTTTACAAACAGGACAGTTTCTGGTGTTAGCTTGTTTCCAGAACTTCTGCAGGCAGCTTGAACAGAAGCTGTGGTTGCAGCTCAGAGACACAGGATCTCTGAAAGTCTCTGAACAAACGAAGATAATCTTCAACAAGAGTGAATTCCTCAGCCTTTTTTTGCCTTTTCTTATAGAAAATGTAAAAAAATAACTAAATCAGAAGAAGACACAATATCGTGACTTACAAATCTCCTTTTCTGTGTTCTTTCATGACGATCTCCGGTTTAAATCTTTCACTTTCGTTTAGCTTCTTATGGGTGGAACTGGTTGAATGACATTTAACAAAGATGCCTTCAGATGGTGCTGCTAAAACAATTCTTTACTATATCTCATTTAAAAACATGCATTCCTCAAAAATCTGCCCAAAACCCAATTTTTATCCCTTCATCTGTATTTTCACAGGTGACAGAAGAAAAGGTCATACTTTTACATTTTATTTATGAGAAAAGAAAAAAATGCAAAAATCATACATTTGTGCAGAAATGGCACTTCATTAAACTTTACAAGTTAAAATAAAAGCTTCACAAACCTCTAACTATAATTAAAGGATTCTGCTATTAGCTCAGAATGATCTAGTTCAGGTTTAACTTTTGTAGTTTTACAGCTAGAGCCGATTAAAGACGCTCAGGGATCAGAAACATTGTTCTTTCTGACTCAGAAACCACAAACGGGAACCAACTTCAGCTCGATGCAAAACAAGACAAAAGAAACTGTAAAACTTGAAAGGATTTATTTTGTTTCCTTGTGATTCTGAGTCATCTCTGTTTCAAGTGTTTAGCCTCTATGAACCACATGGTACAGGACTTATTTATAAATGTACAGAAATCAGGGAATGTGAGTCTGACTTTTATGAGTGCATGGAACAGTTAAAAGCCGGAAAGTGGGAAGTCAGCGTTTCCTTCATGATTTTGTGGCACTGGGCTTATGGTGCATTTAGCACACATGGTGCAGGACGCGAGATGTGGGTGCAGAAGCATTCCTTACGTTCAGACAAGAGGAGGATTTACAGCACCTGGGTGCTCGTCCTTCATTTACTCATCAGAACTTTTTAACTTCCTTTTATTTTGTGTAACTTTGACGTTTTTTTCCCCACATCATTTTTTCAGCTCTGTGGTTGGATTTTAAACAGACTAAAAAGCAACAGGATGATTTTTTACATCAACATTATTTTCTTCTTTCAAATAAATTAAACTAAAATCACGTTTTTTGGACCGGTCTCCACCTAAATGTGCACCACAGGGACAGCTACGTTGGTTGTGAACGGAGAACGGGTGATGGGTTAACACTGAGCTGCAGCGGGCTGGACACTTGCTACATCAACATGGCTTGTTGGTGGTTTTGGTCCGCAGCAGGAGTCCCCTCTTGGCTCCCTGAGCCCGGAGCGTTTCTGTGGTAGAGCTGTCTCACCGTGTCCAGGGTCTCCCCCGTGTCCTCTGGGTATCGCGCCTGCAGTTCTTCGTTGGCAACGTAGTGAGTTTCTGTGAACTCTGAGAAGTAGCGTCCCACCTCCGGGTGTCCGATCTCCAACGGGGATGAGTGGGGCTCCAGGTTCTCTGAGAATCAAATAAAGTATAAGAAATGTTCAGATTTTATTTAATTTTTCACTGCAAAGCAGCCTGAGGAGTGTGGATGTTAGTCATCACAAACGCTAAGACCTTAAAGACCAGTGGATGTCGAAGATCTCAGTGATCTGTGTTCATTTTATTTTTTGTGTTCGCTCCTTGTTGAAGATTTGTGATATTTGTTTTAAATTTTTGCTTTCCTGACTTTGAAATCAATTAAATTGTTAAAAAAAATATAGGAATTTTTTTGGAAATCTGCTAGAAAGGTCCAAGAATGGAGCTCTGTGGTACTCCACAACTTTTTTTTTTTTTACCCCGTGTCCTGTCTGGCTGTGAAGCAAACAGAATTGATGTCTGAATGCCGGTGACAAGCCTTACAGATTTACTCTCAGGTGGAGCATCAAAGCGTCTGCTTCTAATGTCACGCCTGATACTTAAAACTTTATTGTTATTGTTGCTGAATGTTTTATAATTCCGACCAGACACGGAGTCAGAGGTGAAAGAGAAAGGAAAAGACGGGGGGGGGGGGGGGGGGGGGGGGTTCCACAAAGATAAACAATCAATGATGTACAAGAGTCTGCTTCTAGACCTGCAGAAATGGGACACACAACAATACATCAGGAGCAAGCTATCACTGCGTCAACCTGATGAAGAAATATAAAATCAACATTGTTTAACTGAACAATCACACGATAATAAATCACAGTGCATTAAGTGCCAACCACAGCCTTAAGACCTGTGTTGAACGTGCCCAAGCCCATACTTATGAGAGCACCATGTGAGCACCTGTGTGTGTACACGCGCTTGTTTATGTAAGGTTTTTCTATAGGAGCGTCCAACAGAGAGTGTGAGGGACCACAGATCTGCCCCCCAAAGATGTGTAGGAGACGGGGGGAGCTCCAAGTCCCAGAGATCCAGGCGCTGCCCCAGAGCACAGGGACCCCAGGGAGACTGTAACCAGAAAAGGCCCCCGCCCCCCTCGAGAGGCGCAGAGGATCGCCCTGGGGGACCACAACCAGCAGCCGGCAGAGTCCTGGGAGATATCGGCGGCAAGCCCACAGGCCCACCTGCAGCACCCCCCCCACCCCCCCAGCCGGCCAAGCCCAGGACCCAGGGGCGACCACCCCCGCCGGGGAACCAGCAGAGCCCAGGGACCCAGACCCCACCAGGCAGCCACAGGGATTGATCGGTCAGACGCCAAAATCTTAAACCCCCTGACCCGGAGCCACGAACACTCAGGCAGACCAAGGCACAACACCCCACACCAGGTGTGGCAGGGGGAGGGGAGACGAAGATCTATATCATCAAAAGAAGTCCCAGGAGAGGGGAGGAGTCAAAGGCCCCACCTGACATATACAGTCATACACAAACACAGTCACACACTCCCTCCCTCATGGTCACACATGCACATACAACCAAAGACTTACAAAAATGCATGCCGGACACCCACTCATGCTCCCCATACACACCCTATTCACTCTGGTCCCGGTACTGCTGCACATGGGGTACAACCTTTACCGGTTCCCAGAGTTTGACCCTTTCTGCTGGGGTGCTGATGAGCAGGCTCCCCCGCCCAACGCTGAGCACAGCAACCCACCACCCCAGACCCCAACCAGACGGTCAGATCTCCCTCCTAGCCTCCAGCCCCAGGAAGCCAAGCACCAACAGAGGTGTGCTAAGACCCCTAGTCTCCCTCCGCCTGCTCCATTATAGCGTTGTGTGTTGACGAGGTGTATTCCATGGCTGTGGTGAGCGGGCAGTGCGGGCATCGTCTGGCCTATGCCAGCTGATGCCACCGCACCACCCCACTTGCACCCACAGCCCTCGGTGTCTAAGTGCAGTTTAAAATTGGAAGTGGGCACCGGCACTCGGGATGAGGCTGAGAAATCCCCCTGCCAAGTGCCGTTGAATGTGCTCACTCCCAAGGCCCTAAGTGTGTGTTTGCGTGTAATGTCTTCGGTGGAAGTGTATAAGGTGCAAATAAAATTGGGGGGCAGGTTGCCACAGTAATGTGGAAATGAGATCCATACCCGCACTCCCTGACTTGTCCACCCCCCAAGGTCCTATGTGCATGTTTGTGTGATGATGTGAGGGAGCAGGAGGAGAGAAATATGTGGGGATGGGGAGGAATGGCTGGTTGGACTTAAGCCCTCCAGGGAGCCAGCTCCCCCACTGGCCCCAATAGGCACCTCTGTTGTCAAAATGCCACCCAGGGCATGGAGACCGCAGCCCATCCTGCCAGGGCCCAAAGCAACAGCATCACAGAGCCTCACGGAGTCCGAGGGCACCAACCCAGCCCCACCCCAGCAGAATATCTACGCCCATCCCTGCATTTGCACAACTTCCAAAATATATAAGACATAGGCCATCCAGGTAAGGTTGGCTCCTCCCCCTCCTGGACATGTGGTACTCCACATCTAAAGTTCCCATGGGATGTTGACAATTCTGAAATCAAAACCAGGATCATATTTTTTTTCTGACATGAAAGTCAGAAATGTTTTCCCCTCTTCTCGAAGTATCTACTACTACTGTAATAGTATCTATTACTGTTATTTTTGAAAATCAATTTCTCTTTTAGAAATATGAAACTTTATCAAAAAGAGGATGGATATTTATTTCCTACGGGATGTTGATGTTTGCAAAAAAAAAGTATAAAAACATGAATATGTGTAAAATTATATTAATGTCATTCTTTTGTGGAAATTTAAAGTGATTATTCTATGATGCATGAAAAGCTGCAGTAACTTGCATTTATTATTATATCTATTTTTAGCCAAAGTCATTAAGAAACAGGTGTGAATCCAGAGCTGCAGGTTTCAAACCCCCGACTGAGATTGTAGATTTAATTTCATTTAATTGTTCAGCCTTGGTTTTTTACGTCTTTTATCGTATCCCTTTTGAAGCTGCTAGAGCTATGAACTTCACTCTGAGACAAATAAATGACTCATCTATCTTCAGACGCAGACGAGATGCTTCACGGCGTGCCGACGTACCCTGTGCGGCATAACGGCACGTCCCGTCCTGCACTAGCACGTTGTAGAAAGGCTGGTCAGCTCCATTGGACAACTGGTGAACCCTCATGGTGGTGATCCACTCCTGGCTCATGGTGCATTTAGGGTCCCATCCATAAATCACACAGTTATAACCTGAGCTGAAACACAAGAGAGATTTTATGTAATGGCTGCATTCAGGGAGAATTTATAGGATTTATGTTCTCTGTACGTCTTTGTGCGACCCACCGCTTGTGTTTCATTATGAGCCCGACTGAATACTGGACCTCCAGGTGTTCTGGAGCACTGCGCCTCTTCACCTCAGGTGTTGCTGGATGCTTCTTGTGCTGAATGTGCTCCAGTGTGTGCTGCACCAGGTAACCCACGGCACCGTGCTGGGAGGGATCCAGCGCCTGGATGTGCTGCAGGATGTCCAGCACCTGGATTTAAATGAAAAGTGAGCAGAAAGTAGAGTTTTTCTGGATATTAATGTGAAAAAGCAGCAAAAACACAGATGTAAGGCTCTTTAAGGTTTTATTTTCACCAGAAGCATAAAGAGAAATCCTAATCAGAGGACAGAGGCAACACACACATTCCTGTGAGTTTGACTCATCCAGAAGCAGATTTCTACAAAGCAACAATAACCTTTAACCTGACCTTTTCTGGCCAGATTCCCAGGTGGAAGTAAAGCCGTGCCTGCAGCAGCAAATACTGAACATTATCGGGGTTGATGGTGAGGTAGAGATCCAGCGAGTCCCTCAGCAGCTGGTAGGATTTCTCATTGCCCTCCCTGAATAAAGACACAGATTACATTCATTTATTCACTCACTTGAGCAGAACTCAGCTTCCTGTGATTCTGTTTATTCGTTTTTCTTGCCATTTACTAATCAACTATTTAACCTTTTATGTTTATTCCCCTCCAACTGGGTCTGCTATAGACACTCAGGAGTTAGGGCTGCTCAGTTAATCGAATTTTAATCCCAACTACGATCTGAGATTGGAACGATTACAAAACAAAACGAGCAGATTATTTTCTCCTCCCTCTTGTGCTGCTCCAAGTTACAAATCAAGCGCTCCTCCCACATCGTTGCCAAGTTAGCAAATTAGTTGCTATTTCTAACATCTTTTCAGACCCCCTTGTTGAATTTTTAAATTATAAAAGTACCTCGCAAACATGGACCTAATTTTCACTTTAAAAGTGAGGGGGACACGGGGGGGGGGGGGGGGGGGGGTATCTTTACAGTATGCTCTAATGGGAAACAGGCTTCAACACAAACGGTTGTTTTCCTCTTGGTCCTAGAGCTCAACCAGTGTCACTTTAATATAGCGTAATATTGTTTTTGGATGGTAAAAAGTGCAGGGGTCAAAACTTGACTTTGGAAAAAGTGTGTGTGTGTGTGTGTGTGGGGGGGGGGGGACATGCCCCCCCCCCCAAATAAAATTTCGTCCATGCTCACAAACAACATAGATACATCTCTGGTAACCCTTAGCTACTTTCTGGATAACTGTTGTCGACATTTCCTGCAGGTTAGCAAAACACTCCGCCTGCGCTCCGGACCGTCTTTCCGGACATTAGGAAAGGGAATGATGTGATGTGTTGGTCGCAAAAAAATAAAAAATAAATAACGCTCTCAGAGCCGGCTTCGTCTTGGATTAACCGGAGTGTCACACACCGTACCTGCAGGCTCCTGAGCCGCTAAAAACGTCATAATGTGCACCTGTGGTGCGCTAAACACACGCGCGGCTCGCCCTTGATTGCAGTGAGACTGGGTTGGGGGTTGGGGGGTTGGGGGGTGCTGTGGCTGATGGGACCTGTAAATGAATAAATAGTTTAGAAATAGATAGAAATAAGTTTCTCGCGCTGATAAATATGAATTAATCTCTCTGAGACACGTTGCTAGTGTACACACTCATGCAGCACCGCTTGACAGGACTAAATAAATATTACGCAACATGACCGTCACAAAAACATATATGTTTATATGTTTTTTATTTAGGTTATGAATGCCACTGTATTATTTAGTATTTGCAAGATACTGGTTGGATATTTGGGGCTTAAATGAGTTAAACTCAGCCCTTTGGCTCATAAACTACAAGCAAGTGTGTTGGCCTTTTTATTCTAGGAGTCAGGAGTTGTTTTTGTCATCATCTTGTTGCTTTCTTTTTCTTTTTGCCCTGATTGTGCCCTGAGCAGTTTTATGACTGAATAAATAAAACAAATAAAATCAACATTCGTTGAAAAATCGTCTTAAATGATCGAGATCTCAATTTCAGTCACAATAATCGTGATTATCATTTTTGCCATAATCGAGCAGCCCTATCAGGAGTGATGAAGAGTTTCAGGTGAGACGTGAAACATCGTTAAGAAACTGAATTAATTCTGATTTGCTTTTATTGAACTCTCAGAATTATCATGAATTATTCATAGAAAACATTTATTCCTCAAAACAAGTTTATATGAAAAACATTCTTAAACATTTGCAGATCTAATGATCAAAAACAAAATGTAACCGCCCTAACAATTTATTCAGTTTAGTTTCACAACCAAACTCATACTTTAGATAAAAGACTGAATGAAAGGTTTTGCGGCCAAAAGGATGAGCAGAACATCTGTCCCATCAGGCAGCTCCAAGTTAAACGTTTGAACCAGTTTTACTTTTACCCTCTTTTGCCAATGTTGAGCAGGTTTCCCACCATCCTGAGCAGAACTTCTGTGGTGCTGATGGCGTTGTAGTAGTCTGCTGTCACCTGGTGGCCAATCAGGCACTCACACTCCTTGGCCTTCAGCTGCTTGCCTTTACCAAAGGCATCGATGTAGACAAAGTCATAGATGTCCTCACTCCTGTTGGTACGGCAACACATGTGGATGAGAAAGAACACACTGTGTGACCTTATCTAACTGTGCTTTCAAAAAACATGATCGAGCAGGAACACAGAGCAAACAATCTCGACCCAGACGCTGATCCGTCGACACCTAGCAAAATGTACCATTATCCTATACCTGGGATCACCGGCTTCAGAGGAAGGTCACACACAGCAAACCGCTTTCGCACCCTTCAAAACCTCCGCTCGCTAACCCCCCCCAATGACATCCGCCTGTCTATGGGACTTTGGAACTGCCAATCAGCTGTAAACAAAGCTGACTTCATCACCGCAGATGCAAACCACCGGTCACTCGATGCACTGGCCCTCACTGAGACCTGGATCAAACCATGTGACAATGCTACCCCATCTGCTCTCTCAGTTAACCACACTTCACGTGCATCTGGCCGAGGTGGTGGAACTGGCATGCTAATTTCCAACAAATGGATATACAGTCATTTGCTTCCCATCACTAAATACAACTCCTTTGAATACCATGTCATCCAGGTAACTGTACCGAAAAAATTCTTTTTGGTTGTCAAATATTGACAACCAGGTCAACTCGGAGACTTTCTTGATGAACTCGACACCCTGCTCTCCTCCATTCCTGAGCACGACTTTCCCACAGTGGTCCTTGGAGATGTGAATATTCACCTGGACAATCCCAGCTCATCAGGCTTCCTGTCACTAATGTCATCATTTGATCTAAAACTAGTACAAAGTCCTCCAACTCACAAAGCTGGAAAAGCACTTGACCTCATTTTCACCAGAAACTGTGTCATAGACACACTCTCTGTCACACCGCTGCATCTTTCCGATCATTACTTCATCCGTTTCAGCACGACTCTACAAGGGAGGTCCACTGCTTCCTCCCCAGTGGTCTCATTCTGCTGCAACCTCCGCAATCTGACACCCAACCACTTCTCCTCTCTCGTTGCCTCCACTCTTCCATCTCCCAGCACATTCTCTGCTTATGAAGTGAATGATGCCACCATGCCACCGACTCACTCTGCTCCACACTCTGCTCTTGTCTTAATAACTTGTGTCCTTTAGCCACTAGACCTGCTAGATCCTCTCAGTCACACCCTTGGCTAAATGATACCCTCCGGGCTCTACGCACCAATCTTAGTGCTGCGGAACAGAAATGGCTCAAAACAAAAGATCCTGGTGATCAACTGAAATTTCATGAATTACTGTCCTCATTCTCTGCCAGCATCACTGATGCAAAGAAAGCTTTCTACACTGACAAAATTCTCAGCTCTACTGACTCTCAGAAACTATTTCCAACATTCAAACCTCTGCTTGCCCCTCCATCTCCACCTCCTACCAACAATCTATCAGCTGACACCTTTGCCTCATTCTTCACTGACAAAGTGGCAGCTATAAGCAAACAGTTTACTCAACTGGCCACTCCTGAACATTCACTACCACAAACTCCTTCTAGCCCAACCATCTCAGACCCTACTGCTTCATTTTCCTCTTTTTCCCCTCTCACTGAGAACTGTGTGTCCAAGCTTCTCACGTGCAGCCGCCCTACTACATGCCCACTCGACCCCATACCGACTAAGATGCTCCAAGCTATTGCTCCTACAGTAGCCGCAGCAGTTACACATGTGATCAACGCATCACTGACATCCGGTACATTTCCCACCTCTCTCAAGCATGCTCAGGTTAAACCGCTGCTAAAAAAACCATCTCTTCCTCCATATCATGTGGAGAACTACCGACCTATCTCTCTCCTCCCTTTTCTGTCTAAAATCATTGAGAGGGTGGCTTTCAAGCAGATCACAGAATACCTCTCACAAAACTGTCTGCTTGACCCTTACCAATCTGGGTTCAAACAGGGCCACTCCACTGAAACTGCTCTGTTAGCAGTGACTGAATCCTTAAAAGAAGCTAGAGCGACTGGCAAATCCTCAGTGCTTATCCTGCTCGACTTATCGGCTGCATTTGACACTGTCAACCATGGCTTCCTTTTGTCCACACTCTCTAGCATGGGCATCACAGAGAAAGCACACACCTGGTTTGAATCTTACCTCACAGGACGATCATTCTGTGTATCTTGGCTTGGACAATCCTCTACCGTGCACCATCTTGCCACAGGAGTGCCCCAGGACTCTGTACTAGGACCTCTTCTCTTTGCCATATACACCACCTCACTGGGTGAGATCATTCGATCACATGGCTTCTCCTACCACTGCTATGCAGACGACACCCAGCTCTATCTGTCATTTCCACCGGACGACCACACTGTCTCTGCACGAATATCAAACTGTCTCTCTGACATCTCAAAATGGATGAAATCCCACCATCTCCAACTCAACCTCTCTAAAACTGAACTACTTGTCATCCCAGCAAAACCATCCATACAGCAAAATATCTCAATCCAGAATGACTTCCTATCTCTGGCTCCTTCAAAGGCAGTTCGAAATCTGGGTGTTGTGATTGATGAACACCTGACCTTTAAAGATCATGTTGCCTCTGTTGCTCGTTCATGCCGCTTTGCGCTGTATAACATACGAAAGATCAGACCATACCTAACACAACATGCCACCCAGCTCCTGGTGCAATCTACTGTCATCTCCCGCCTCCATTACTGCAACACCCTTCTAACTGGTCTTCCAGGCCTCTTCAAATGGTCCAGAACGCAGCGGCGCGTCTGGTCTTCAATCAGCCTAAAAGAGCACACATCACCCCTCTGTTCATTGAGCTCCACTGGCTACCGCTAGCTGCACGCATCAAATTCAAACTGCTAACACTAGCATACAAAGTCTGAGATGATACGGCTCCCATCTACCTGAATCCTCTTGCAAAGGCTTACGTCTCGGCCCGGCCGCTCCGGTCATCACAGGATGGTCGGCTAGCAGTGCCTACACCACGCTCAGGACAATCCAGACTCTTCTCATGCATCGTTCCACAAATGTGGAATGACCTTCCAAGCAGTACCAGAACAGGAGCTTCCTTTTTGATTTTCAAGAAACTCCTGAAGACCCTGCTCTTCAGAGAGCATCTTCTAAACTAGCACCCTCCCTGCACCCGTCCCCCCTCTCTACTGTCCACTCCTAGTTCCCTCCTCTCCATGATTCATCATGCTGCCTCACTGCCACCTACGACTGACTGGAAATTGGTTATTGTTGTTAGCCTCAAGGGCAACATGCCGATTATTACTTGTAAGTCGCTTTGGACAAAAGCGTCTGCTAAATACATAAACATACGTTTTAAAATGTCAAAACTGAGTCAAAAGATGAAAAAAACAACACTTTGTCTTTTAGCAAATGCTAAAATAACAACCATGTGTCTGTGTGGGTTTCCAGGTGTGTAAACAGTCTGTTGATGTTTTTTCCTCCTCTTATTTTTCTGGTTTTATATCTTTCTTTTATATTTCTGTGGGTATGCATGCCTGTAATTACCTGTATCTGGTACGTCTGAACTTCCTGAAAATAAAGGCCACTTCTATTCTATTCTAATGTGAATTTAATTTAGAAAGATCCAGTCATACTTTCTTGGTTTTTGGCACCAGCGCAGCAGGAAGTGATTGGGAAAGTTGACGGGCTCCAGCTGAACGCCCAGCTTCCGGGCCAGGGTCATGTAAAGAACAGAGAGGCTGATGGGAATGCCAGTATGCCGAAGGAGCACCTAAGTAAAAAGGAAGTGAAAATAGTTTTAAAATAAATGCATTATTGATAATTTAGTGAAAAACCTGTTTAAGGCTGACCTGATGGATGTAAGAATTGAGCGGGTTGTAATAGTCACACTCGTTGCCTTTGTACTGAAGCTGCTCATACAAGACAGAGTTCAGAGCAAACAGCACCTGCCTCTGGAGCTCAAAGTCCTCAATGACATGGTCACCTACAGCACACACAAGACTAAACTCTTAAAAGATGGCTCACACAAAAATCTGTGCAGATTCATGGCTGTTTCAGACTTTGCTGCAGGTGCAAACACAGGTCTTAATGTTTTAAATGTCTAGTTATGCAATAAACTTTCTGCAAAATAAATAAATAAATAAAAAATCTTTGAAAAAAGGCACATATATACAAAGAATAAATCTTTTCTTGTCCTATATTATCTTATAACCTCACCGTTGGCGATGCGAAGACTGGGATGAGATGGATTTTTGATTCTTAGCATCTTCTTTGCCTTTTCTATAATTTCATCTAATTGAACTGAAACACCATCCAGTGTGACGTCTGCCAGTGGGTTACAGTACTGATCCACCAGCACAGCACCTAAAGAGGCAAACAAAACAATCAAAAGTGGTAATAAAAAAGGAAAATGCCCGAACAATGTAACATATTTTCATTCCTTCTAAGCTTTTTTAAAATTATTTTCATATGGTAATTATTACTGCAGGATAATACATTCAGATCTCTGTAAAATAGATATTTATACTACAGACAAAAACAGGACACATGTGTGTAAAACAAGATGTCTTTTGCACACATGTAGCTGAGCTGAGCTGAGGTGCAGCAGAACCCAGCAAATGGTCAGTACTGATGGATCACCTTCCAGAGCTGATTGTTGCTCTGCAGGCTGCTCCAGAAAGGTCTTCAGACTCCTCAAGATGTTCTGCTGTCTCAGGAAGTAAAGGATTTTTCTTGCATAGTATTTCAGTGTCAAGCTTTTCCTAACAGACGGTGGAGAAAGAGACGGACTTTAATGATACAGAAAAGAGGGCACAATGCAACAAAGGCTTTCATAGCCACACAAAACTGCTCTCACCTCTTGTCGGAGTTGAGTATGAAGAGGAGCTCATCTTCGCAGAAGTGCTCCGGCATCCCGAGTGATTCAATCTCTGCAAAGCTGTCTCCCAACACCTGGCCAACGCAAGGCTGAGTTACAGATCTCTGGGTTAGTTTGCAACATTTAAAAATACATGTTACTGCACAAGCATGCACCCACATACAGACTGGAGGCAACCAGGAACATCTGGATGTAATATATCACATCTTACAGAGTAATCTGATTAGAGTTAACCAAGTTCCAATGTAATGAGAAAACATATTACTTACAACTTCTGTGAAAAATCTTTTTGAAATCGACTCCACAGTCCTTCGTATCTGTATACCGACCCTGTGGCGTGTTTTGTACTCCCTTAGCCAGTCGCAGCTTTCGTTCTGACGGTAAAACCTCTGCAATCTCGGCCATCTGTTGATGCAAAGAGCAGATTTGTTATTTCAGAAACATGCAAGGGCGTTCTGAGAATCAGGCCACTTCCTGCCATAATCGGTGCATGCAGCGCTTTAAAACTGTCCGCCTCCTGCTGTAGAAGCAGCTGCCTCCTTGCTGAGAGAAAAACCAAGCAGCCAGTGAATGAGCCTGTGCGGTTCCCAGAGATTCAAGGTCAAAGATGATGCTTCTTTTGAATACTCAAAGAAAAACACATTATAGGTCACTAGCAAGCTTTATTCCATGTGTCATGGGTGTCTAGAGGGATGCCCGGTACCCGGATTAGCTCAAGGATAAATCTGGTGCATCAGCAGAATGTATTCGCTGACAGTTTCAGTTCGCAGGAAACGAGCTCATGTCAAGTAGGCATTAAGGGCTTTAGAGCCCTAAACAGGACGGGTAAAATCAGTAACAACATTGTTATCTAACTAAATCCATAAAAAACCAACACAAACCAGAACTAGCATGGATTTTCACACAATCGGAGCACCTTAGTTTGTACTGGTGTTCCCAGACCTTTCCCCTTCCATGGCTAACGTCGTGCAGTCGTTTGCAGCAGCAGGAAACGTTACAAATGTCGACGTGTGTGAGGACAGGGAAGCACAAGATATGTTCAAGCAACTCGGTCGGCAAATATGTCAGTTTTTTAGTTTGGGGCTCGGAAATATTCCCGTTTAGAATCGGTTGCTCCTCTTGGGCTACAGACGTCGCCATTTTTACTGTTTACCCCATTACCTCATCGCTTAGGCACCGCCTCCTTATGGCGCAGGGGCTGGGCTAAGGGCGGGGCATCTGCCACAACCTGCAATATTATTGGTTGTTAAGTTAGAGAGAAAGGCGATGGTGGGACGCTCCTGCTGATGATGCATTCAATGTCCCTGGGAACTAAGCAGTTCATTTTACAAAAAGCTGGGTAAACGTTTGACCTAATTTTTGTAAATGCAGAAAAACAAATTGTATCTATCTTATTATTTTCAAAATATACAGAGTAATTTAGGATAGAATGCCATACAATAAGTTAAAGGTAATTAACAAGTCATTGATCCATCCCTTAATTTAGGTGTATTTAGCCATGACGATTTGTAAGGACAATCTACTTACTCTAGAAAATGATCAGATAATTGAAAAACTATTTTAAAATCTGTCGAGCTCATTATAAAATGACAAACATTATAATTTATAATAGTGGCAACATTTTATACAACCTTTGAGAAAAGTTACAAACTCTGATCCCCAAAGTGAGTTTTAAACATTTACACACTTATTACTACATAATAGACAACACGTGAACGCAGCACAGTTTTAGTTAAGATAGCTACAAGTTGTTAGCCACAGGTCGCCTAGCTTTTCGCGTGAAGTCTGTGGATTGAAGGGTTAAACGTTTCTCATACACTTACATGTGTATTAGTAAGACCTTTCCTTTGGAGTCGTGTCAAATTAGAGACAGTCAGACATTTTATTTTGGAAGTGACTAACTTTAGTAAGCTAATTTACTTTTTACTCATCGTTAGCTACCAGCCCAGGACACTGCGGTCTTCTGCTAAACGTGTTTGTGAACGTCTGCTTTTGTTTCAACCTGGGAAAATACAATTAATTGTAAATAATAATGTAATGAGTCATTAGGAGAAGCTTAAAATATGTAGTGAGATATGACTACAGTTATTTAAATGTGCTGAAACGTCACATGCACATCTGTACTTATGTCCAGTAGTTCTCCCATCGCCTGTCTCAGCTTGTTAAGGAAACTGGGAGGAAAAATGTCTTGACCTTTCGGCTTAAAGGGGAGAATCGAAAGTACTTGATTTTGTTAAATCTGTGAACTTATTGCAATGGCAAGTGCCTTGGCAGCAAAAATGGGATTTAACTCCCTGCTGAGAAAACAAGCCAGGAACTTCAGAGTCAGGATCTGCACCATGGAGTCAGAGGAAGAGTTCAACTGCGAGGTAAGTTTAACACGTGCGAGCATATTTTCTGCCACCCTCAGTTAGAAACCCCGAATTGTGTTTCAGCTTTGCGCCTTTAACTGAGTCATTTGTTTACACATAACCACAGATACGACGCAGGAGAAATCTGGATGTTAAACCTGCAGTTCTCGCTCACTGACGCTAGATGGCAGCAAATAACAGAGCATCACCTGAACATGCTTTTAAAAAATGCTTTGTTTTTCTTCTTTTTTGTAGTATTATTAAAATATATCTGTAAATATAGGGTCATTTAGAAATTTATTAGATACATTTACTCCTTGTTTGTACATCTACTATATAGATGTGTTATGTGGTAGGACTGAGTGACTTGCAAGCACCATGTCTGTATTTAAAAGGGAGGAACCGCTCCTTGATTATCGCTTGGGTTTGGTAATTGCAAACAGCTTCATAATGTTAGTTACTGATTTCTATTTTCAGTGTTGGAAGGAGGATTTACTACTGGTTTAGTAAATAATATGTATTTATTTTTAAATGAAATGTGCTGCATGATTAAAAGCCAATTCAAATATAAAGTATTCAGTTTGTATGAGAGGATTCACCAACATTATTTCCTTGGACCTTTAACGTGGATGTTTCAGTTGCATTTTATCATTTTTAATGGCCATTATTTATGATTAATGCATCTTTTAGGTCAAATGGAAAGGAAAAGACCTGTTTGACTTGGTGTGCAGGAGTCTAGGATTATGGGAAACGTGGTTCTTTGGCCTGCAGTACACAATAAAAGACACCGTGGCTTGGCTAAAGATGGAAAAGAAGGTCGATCCAGTGTTTTACTTGTCGTACAACATGAGTGAGCATTTCTTACATTTGCTAGAACCAAAACATTTATTGTGGAGAAACCTTTTCTTCACTGTTTCAGATTTTAGATCAGGAAGTGCCCAACGAGGAGCCCATCACGTTCTTCTTTCTGGTCAAGTTTTACCCTGAGAATATTGAGGAGGAGCTCGTACAAGAAATCACTCAGCGTCTCTTCTTCCTACAGGTAATGAAACATATTAATAAGGAATTGAATGGTGATAATTCATTTCAGTTCAATTCAAAAATACTTTATTGATTCCAGAGGGAAACTGATTGCTGTAGTAGCTCAGAATAATAATAATAATCAAGTCATCAAAGAGTTGTTGTATATTACAATGGCTGTTGGCAGGAAGGATCTCCAGTAGCGGTCAGTGTTGCAGCCAAACTGAAGAAGCCTCTGACTGAAGACACTCTTCCGTTGTCGGACAGTCTTGTGAAGAGAACGCTCAGGGTTGTCCATCATGTTCTTGATTCTCTGGAGAATCCTTCTTTGCATTATCTCCTCCAGTGGTTCCACAGTCGTCCCCAGAACAGAACCAGCCTTTTTTATTAGGCTGTTGAGCCTTTTCAGGTCCCTGCTTCTGATGCTGCTACCCCAACAGACGATGGCTGAAGAGATTACACTCTCAACAACAGACTTGTAGAAGATCTGCAGCATCTTGCTACAGACATTGAAGGACCTAAGCGTCCTCAAGAAGTGCAGTCTGCTGTGTCCCTTCTTGTAAACGGCTTCGCTGTTCTTTCTCCAGTCCAGTCTGTTGTCCAGGTGAACTCCAAGGTATTTGTATTCCTCAACCACCTCCACTTCTTCTCCCATGATGGAAACAGTGTTTGACTCCACCCTGTTTCTTCTGAAGTCTAAAATCATCTCCTTTGTTTTGTTCACGTTCAAGGTCAGATGATAGTTTCCACACCATGCCACAAAGCGCTCCACCAGCTCTCTGTACTCAGCTTCCTGTCCATCTCTGATACACCCAACAACTGCAGAGTCATCTGAGTGTTTCTGTAGATGACAGGTCTCTGATTTGTACTGGAAGTCTGAGGTGTACAGGGTGAAAAGGAATGGTGAGAGTACAGTCCCCTGTGGTGCTCCAATGTTACTGATGGCCTGGTTTGATGTGCAGTTCTTCAGCCTCACAAACTGTGGTCTGTTAGTCAGGTAGTCTTTAATCCAGGCGATAGTTGAGGCCCCCACCTGTGTCTTCTGGAGTTTCTGGCAAAGTACATCAGGCTGGATTGTGTTAAATGCACTGGAGACATCAAAGAACATGACCCTCGCAGTGCTGCCTGCTTTGTCCAGATGACAGTGGGTTGGTTGAAGCAGCTGGATGATGGCATCTTCAACTCCAACTCCATGGCGATAAGCAAACTGCAGCGGGTCCTGATATTTCCTAGTTTGCTTATTCAGGTGGACCAACAGGAGTCTCTCCAGGACCTTCATGATGGGGGATGTCAGGGCAACCGGTCTGTAGTCATCATTGACTGATGGGCGAGTTTTCTTTGGAACTGGAACAAGGCAGGATGTCTTCCACAGGACTGGAACCTTCTCCTGGGCCAGGCTGAGGTTGAAGAGGTGCTGCAGAATCCCACAGAGCTGCTCTGCACAGGCCTTCAGTACCCTGGGGCTGACACCATCTGGACCTGCAGCCTTGTTCCTGTTCAGTCTCTCCAGCTGCCTCTTCACCTGACTTCTAGAGACAGATAGGTGGGAGGGGGAGGTAAATGGGGCAGCAGCATCTCCTGACTTGGTTGAAGACAGATTTATAGAACCAGAAGAGTCCATGACTGTGTTAGTGGACAAAAGAGCTGGCGTGTGACAGGAAAATGTTGGATCAGAGGAGGATGGGATTTCTGATTGGCTAGGGACAGGCGAGGAGGATGCTGGGTTTGTTCCTGAACTGAACCTATTGAAGAACTTGTTCAGTTCATTGGATGTGTCCAGGCTGCCATCTCTGCAATCCTTCCTCTGCTTGAAGCCAGTGATCTTCTTCTTCCCTGACCAGACATCTCTGATATTGTTCCTCTGTAGTTTGTTCTCCAGCTTCTTCCTGTATGCCTCCTTGCTGTCTCTGATCTTGATCTTCAGTTGCTTCTGTATACTCCTCAATAATTCCCTGTCTCCCTCCTTGAAGGCTCTTTTTTTTCTCATTTAGCAGATTCTTTAGTTCACTGGTGATCCAGGGTTTGTTATTAGCGAAGCATCTCACTGTTCTGGTGGGTATGATATTGTCCACAGAGAAGTTTATATAGTCAGTGACACATCCAGTCATGGCATTGATGTCCTCTTTATATCCTTGGCTGAGAGTCATCCAATCTGTGGTCTCAAAACAACCCTGCAGGGCTTCTTCAGCGTCCTGTGACCATTTTCTCAAAGTTCTTCTTGTCACAGGTTGCCTCTGAACAAGTGGTTTGTATTCTGAGCAGAGAAAAACAAGATTGTGATCTGATTGTCCCAGAGGAGGTCTTGTTTTGGACATGTAGGCATTCTTTACATTTGCATAACACAAATCCAATGTCTTGTTTTCTCTGGTGGAGCAGCTGACAAACTGTTGAAATGTTGGAAGTGTAGCAGAGAGTGAGGCATGATTAAAATCACCAGATATAGCTATAAATGCATTGGGGTGCTGGGTTTGTAGCTTAGAAGAAGAAGAAGAAAGTATCATTTCTATAGCGCCTCTCAAGATAAAAATCGCGAGGCACTTAGCGACAATGGAACTGATGGCATCACATGCATTTTCAGCAATGGCTGAAGGTGGAATATAAACGGTTGCCAAGACAACACTGGTGAACTCTCTTGGCTAATAATATGGGTGACAACTTATTGCCAAGAGTTCAACATCTGGGCTGCAGAGACGACATTTCACTGAAACATGACCTGGATGGCACCATCTGTTGTTGACAAGCACTGCCACTCCACCTCCTTTTCTTTTCCCGCTCCTCTTCAGATCTCTGTCTGCTCGCACAGTCAGGA